GGTCCAGCTTTCGAAAAAAGTTACCAAAAGTTAAAATTACTTACTTAAAAAAATGATGGAGTTAAAGACATATTATACGCATTAATTTTCTAACACTTTCATTACTTTTCCGGTTCCCAAAAAAAAAAGAAAAATAGTCCACATTAAGTGAGTGTTTTTAAAATGGGCTGAACGAGCATGTTAAACCGGTTTCACAGAAAACTAATCCCCAAACAGAGCCGAGCTGGTCATAAATCGCCATTTTAAAATTCGATCAAAATCGGTCAAAATTCTGTTAAAACCTGGGTCGAACTGGTTTTGACTTTTGATCAGATTTTTTTAAAAAAAAAAAAATTTGCACTACTTTTTAGATATATATATGTATATATATTTTAAGCAGGAAAAGAGAGATAAGCGACATTGAAGTTCCAACAAGCTCAAGAAAAATACTTAAGGGGTATACCCAAAAACTATTTCCTGAAACAGTCAGTGCTAGATGGCAAGGTGCACCCAAAGGGTATACCCAAGGGATGGACACCAATACCATCTAGTTCCCTAGGATCGAGAGAAGCTTCTCTCGCGCTCTTATTAAAACATAGCTATAAGCAACCTTTGCAGAGCATAGGTCTCACCAATTACATCACCTAGACTTGGTACGAATGTAGGAGAAGGAATGCTGATCTAAAATCAACAAACCTTTTACATAGTTAGGTAGTACAGCTAAAGTAGAGTACAACCCCGACACACTGGAGGATGCAATTTTAGACAACCTATCTGCAACAGCGTTAGCCTCTCTAAATAAATGAGATACTTGGTATCCATTTTTCTGTATAATAGCTGACATTTCATGTAACAAAAGAAAATGCTTCCATGGAAACCCAGAGCGTTGTTGCAGTGCACCTGCTAATGCCTTGTTGTCCGTCTGCAAACATACATTTTGAAGATGAAGCATCTCAGATTTGCGCAAATCCAAAAATTGCCTCTGCTACCTCCGCCAAAAACCTATCTCCTCCTCCCAAATAGCCGCTTTTTCCATGAATGAAAACCCCTCCTTCACCATGAATAACATAGCCATAACCTGCTTCATTCAAAATAGATGAACCATCGAAATTTAAGATGTAGGAATTAGGGTTTGGTGGATACCATTTCATCCTTCAACTGTGGCCGCGGCTTTACTTTCAAATCAGCCCCAAAATGATGCTGAAAAAAAAAATCCTTTTCCAATGAATTTAACACCTTCAAATCATGCACTTTCATCAAAAGAATTGGTTCTTAACAACATGAATGAGTCGCGGAATCTCTATTGTCGCACCATCAAAGAAAGCCTTGTTTCAACCTTTCTATGTTTCCCAAATAATGATCATAGGCAGCATCATGTGTAAAACTCCAAAATCATTACTCATATTGCCTCTTCTCCACCATGTATGGAGATTTGAAGCAAGTGAGGTAGTGCCAGACAATTTGATTTGCATAAGGCCTGCAAAATAATCCCAGAAGGTATGATCAAGTCTTTCCCCATCAACAAAACAAACATATAGAGGGAAGAATCTGAATTCCCATTTGACCTACAACTTTCGGAAATGGCAACAAATCATTCCACAATTTCCAGGCAAAAAACGAAATTCGCAAAGAAACCTGTTTAATCCAGACATACCGCGTCCAGTCTTCCTTAGGGTTTTGCTTTCACATCACCTCATATGCGGATTTGACATAAAAAGCCCCATTAGAATTATGCTGCCAAACCAAAAGATCGTTTTCCTCGTGAAACTGACAATCATGAAAAACAAGAAAAACTCTTATATGGTCTGCTTTAAATTCCACAAGATAGCGCTCTTTATCATCAAAAAATTCCCTTATTGTAATCTCCGAATGCAGGGGCTTAAAAAATTCCTCATCCCAAATAACACTATGTTGCGAACAATTATCAAACCAAAAGAACCCATCTCCCCGTCTCACTATCAACTTGGTGTTACTCACAGCTCTATCTTCAATATTTAAGATACAATTCCACGAAGTCTTCTTCTGTGAAGCATGAGATAACGAGGGAATAAAATTACTCCAAATCCCCTTCTTTAATCTTAATTTCCACCACAACTTTAAAGTCAAAGCATCAATAACTCCCTGAAAGTCCCTCACTCCTAAACCATTTTCCGGAACCGGATAAGTGATTGTCTCCCAAGACCTCCAATGCCGACGGGTTGTTTCAAATGGTCCACGCCACAAGAAACGTTGACATTTCTTTTCCATCTCTCTTAAAATTGATTTTGGTGGGACAGTAGAAAAGACATGTATTGGAATGGATGCCAACACATGTCTTATTAAAATGAGGCGACTGCCCGGGCTAAGAAGCTTGTTTTTCCACCCTAAAAGTCTTGAGTCCATGTTATCCAACAGAAATTGGAAAGTAAATGCTTTTCACTGACCTTGATATAACCGGCACCCTAGATAAACAAATGGCAACGATCCCTTTTGAATTCCAAGAGTACGATTAATAATTCCAATCCTACATGCACTGCAATCGGCTGCCGCCATAAAAGCACTCTTTTGACGGTTAACTTTTTGACCCGAAGCTTGCTCATATGTGTGAAGGAACATATTTAATTCTCTAAGCGACCTTTTCAGACCCCTAGAAAATATTATGAGACCATTCGCAAATGCCAAATGAGATACCACCTAAGATCTCCTTGGAGTGCCATAATTCACAACTAAACAACACCGTACAAGATAATTCAACCTTCTAGTCATAGCTTCCGACACAATGATAAACAAGTAAGGGGAGAGGGGATCCCCTTGTTTAATTCCTCTAGTGGACTGAAAGAAGCCAACCAGATAACCATTTATCATCACCGAGAACCAGCTACTTCGAAGATTAGACATTATCCATCTAACAAAATGAGTCGGAAAACCAAATTTCGGCAACACTTTCTCCAAGAAGCTCCATTGAACCCTATCAAATGCTTTCATCATATCAACTTTAGGACCATGTTACTACCTTCAGCTTTACGACCAAGGAATTGACACAAGTCTTGAGCACACATTACATTATCAACAATATCCCTTCCTTCCAGAAAAGCAAATTGCTCATCCGAGATGAGTTTTGGTAAAATAATCTTCAGCCTCTCCGTTAGGACCTTCGTGAAAACCTTATTCAAGAAGTTGCACAAGCTTATTGGCCTATAAACCGAGAAAGTAGTAGCTGCATTTTTCTTCGGAATTAAAGTAATCAACATGCTAGCTATAGATCTCGGCAATGGAATACCAAGCATGAATTCTTGACAAGCATTCAAAAGGTCATTAGCAATAATGGCCAAACAACTTCTATAGAAAGTCCCCCCAAACCCATCAACACCTAGAGCAGAATCTTCACTCAAACTGTAAACCGCCTCTATAATTTCCTCAAGAGTGATTTCCCACAGCAAAAGAGTAGCATCATGATTATCCAAAGTTGGAGGTATGTGTTCTATCAAAACAGATTGAGCATATGTAGCTCTTTGATCCTCAACAGTATCATTCAAAAGTTCCTTATAAAACCGGATTGCTTCTTGCTCAATGCCTGCTGAATCAGTGATCATTTTGCCATCCATGGATTGGATTTTAAAAATGCCTTGCCTCACCCTGCGCTCGTTCAAAGCAGCATGAAAGAGTGAAGTATTTGCATCACCTTCATTAAGCCATTTAACCCTCATTTTTTGTTCCAAAAAATCTTCATGTTTTTTTAACTTTTGAAGCAAGGTAGCCTTTGCAACATTCATCCGAATTCTATCATTTTCCAGCCCCGTGGAATCATATAGACTTTCTAGCTATTGAACATTAATATTGGCTTTTTTCAGATTTTCAAACACATCACTAAAAACATTTTTGTTCCATTCCTTCAAAGTGGCCTTCAAATGCCGCAGCTTGAGGGAAAACCCTAGCATTCTGGAACAATTTCCAACATGCACTTACTACCATCTTGAAGTCATCCCTCCGCAGCCACATTTTTTGAAACCGGAAAACCTTCGGTTTACTCTCATGAGGAGGCGCAACTAAATGCAAAATTGGGCAATGATCCAAAGTTGTACGACTGAGATTTTCAACGGAAGAAGCCGGGAAAAGGTCATGCCATTCTTTAGTAAACAAAACCCTATCCAATTTTTTGCTAACCCAACATGTACTTCTTGTTCCTCCCCACATGTATTCCTCCCCAACCGGCAACATTTCCATCAATTAACAAGCTTCTATGCACTCATTAAATTCCATCATAGCAACATGATCTTGATCAGAAACCCCTGAGTATTCATCCAAAGACTGGATAACATTGAAATTCCCACCTATCATCCAAGGAGAGTTTAGATATTTTTGTCTAAAGTCGACCATACTTTGCCATAACGCATGCCTACCCGTTCTGGTGGATTTAGCATAAACAGCAGAGAAATAAAACTTTCCAAGCACCAACCCATGAGTTGCTTCAAAGTGGAGGGCCTAGTCATTCTCATCAAGCATGGTCACCGCAACGTCCTTTCTACAAAAAACCCATATCTTGCTAGTTCCAGGAGAAAAGGCCATATCATACCCTAATTCCCGTTTTACCTCTTCAATTTTAGTCTTCACCATCATTGGCTCTAGAATGATCAAGATAGCAATCTTATACATTCTGAATAATGTCATCAATCGGAGATGAGAAGCTTGATTTTTGATGCCCTAAAATTCCATGTAAGCTGACCTATCATTGGAAAGATAATGAAAGGACGAACCGTTATTATTGTAACCGAGAAGATCTTCGCGGAACAATGCCATCTTGAGACTTTATCATCTCAGATTTTGGCTTTTGACCATGTTTCTTTGCTTTTGAAACGACCCCTTACACTGGATCAAGCAAATCCGAATCATTCCCATCAATTTCCTCTTCAGACCAGCTCTCCTGCTCTACATCTCCAAGAATCATGTCCTCTAAGGATTTTCCAACATCACCATCATCGGAAGACTGTCCCACCAGTGGCAAAGTGACATTGCCAAGCATTGCTAACTCTCGTTGTGACAAATTAGGGTTTTCTGTTTGCGGCCCTTCGATTTCCTTCGAACAAAGAAGTTACGTTCTCTATTAACAGTAGATGATCACCTTCATGCATTCCAGATTTAGCAATTATAGGTGCATTTAAGATTTTGCAATCTGTCTCAGCCACCACTGCTACAGAATCAACAATCTCAGCATTGGGCGAAACACAAAGCCCAGTCGCAACCTCAGACGTGCCTGCCACAACATTTGTCGCAACCCCCGATTCCGTTATGGTTTGAGTCACCTTCATAACATCAAGAACACGTTCAACACATGGTTCCTCAATATCCTCTTCATTGATCATTTCCAGAACGTCAAAACGGTTAGTAACCACCGTTGCAGCATTTTCCACAGACGCCTTTTCCATCGCAGCGACATTTGTGATTGTCGTCATAGCCGGAGGCACCTCCTGTCGTGGCTGTTGTTCTTCAGAGTTTTCCGGCAAAGTTTTAATGGGAGAATCCTATATATCAACTGGGATTGCAACCTTTTCCTTCTCCGATGGACCAGATGAAGAACCAGATGGCATTACAACATTAGCAACCTTCGGAATCGAGTTAGGGTTTTTGGCATTTTTAAGGATTTGTTTCTGCTGCGATGCTTTGGGAGCATTTTTCTTTGGATCCTCAACAGATTTTCTAGCGATACCCTTCTTGCAATCTGCTGCCTTATGACCAATTTTACAACATTTCAAGCAATACATTGGAACATGTTCATATATGAAGAATTGTTCATGCTTTTTGCCCTTTTTCCCAACTTTTATAGATTTTGAAAATTCCTACGTAAGGTCAACTTCAACACAAAAGCGTGCCACTGAAGGTCTCGTGAGATTTAGGGTTGGAGCATCAACCTTTAATGGCTTACCAAATTGGGACTTTCAGGATTCAGGATTCAAGAACTCTATTGGGAGATCATGTAACGATGCCCAAATTGGGACAATCGGTGCATCTTCTTCGAACTTAAAAGCCGGTTTCCATTTGAGAATTCTCATCGAAAAACCAGCAATGTTCCAAAATCTGCGCATCCAACAATGTTGATAATCGTCCTCCCTTTTGAAACGAATTAACACGTCCAGGGTTCATTAACCCTAGGGTATAATTTCCATGGAATCCAATTTTCTTGAATTCTTTATGGATTTCCTCCATTTTCGGTCGACCTTAGGAAATTCCCAACCAAACTTAATTGGTGCGAGCTATTAAACGTTCGTACTCCTCATCTTCATATTCAATAACGGTGGTACCATTTACAAACGTGGCGGACTTAATTAGGGTTCCTTTTGGTTGCTTTTCGGTTGAGGGTTTGTGAAAGAGACTTGCGAAGGTTGGGGGAAGCCCAGTGTGGGCTTCCCCAGAATGATTTCCGGCCATGGTGGCCGGATTTTGGTAGGATTTTCCAAGGTGAAGGTCGATCGAGAGAGAGAGAGAGAGAGAGAGAGAGAGAGAGAGAGAGAGAGAGAGAGAGATGAGAGAGTTTACTTTTGAGATATATTTTATATGAAATTCAACTTTTAGCCCTAAGTCAAATCTTTTATATTTGTAATATCCAAAACTTTAATATTTGTGTTATTAATAGTTAATTTAAATATTTAATTAATCCATTCATCGCACATCCTACATATCAATTCAACAATAGTCATTATTCAACTAAAGAAAAGTTTTATAAACCAAATAAATCAAACAATATTCGTTATTTTTAATCAAAAGTAGAAAAAAAATATATAACCAAATAAATTAATTAAAATGCAATGTAAAATTTCTTAATGATAGAAAAATCAATTATGTAGCAATGTATTATTATTTAATTATAACAAAGGTTAATTTAAACTAATAGCTTAGCTAATGCCATAATTATGTTCCATCAAAACCTATTTGAAAGTTATAAAGCATTGATTTGACTTTATAAAACTTATTTTAAAAATATAATTATTAATTTATTAATATTGGTTATATCATTATGACATCTTCCAAATCGACCCACCCGAAAGCAGCTGGAGTCAGCCCTCTAAACGGCCGACCTCTGACTATTGCCAAGTTGAGCTCCAATCCGATCCTCACGACACTACATTGAGTTTGAAACTTGTATTATTTTTTTTTCACTAATGAGCATATTTATTGGTTTTTTATATACTACATCCCAACAAATCCGTTGCGAGCTACCTCACAGAAAGGCCCTGTAATCCTCATGTCACATGGTGAAACAAAAATGATATTCAGCTTGTCGAAATAATGTCCTCGAATTCAAAAGATTTGTCAGCTCCATATATATCAAAGTTAGATGACTTATTCTCCTCCCTGCTTCTTTGTAAAGGAGAGGGCTTTGATGTTTCCAATCTCCTTACATGAGACAAAACGGTAGTTACTGTAGAGACAACAATCATTCGATCAAAGGGCCTTGCTCAAAAAGGTAGAAGGAAGCAGACTTTGGATCATTATGCTAAAAACTTTGTCCCTTCGTTTTACAACATTAGAATAAAATATACTAGTGATTAGTTAGAGCATGACTTGCATGTTTCGAGTTTTGTATTCCGGTGCATTTTCATTTTACTTGATAATTAGGCTTCTAAAGTTCCATCGCATCTAATAAAATTTGCACCAAGATAAGAAAAATATATCCTATAGGACACATATATCATAATATTCAGTTACAGTGGATCAAAGTCGTCTCATTATTACATGCAATTCTTAAATTTCAATACACGTGAGCAATCGAAGAGGTAAATTTAATTATTACAATTAGGTTTCCTCGTCGCTGTTACATTCCGATTGAAGCAGAGTTTCAACCACAGAAGCCATTCTAGGCCGCTTGTTTCTGTCCTTCTGAACACAAGAAACGCCGACTTTGATCAAGGTGATAGCTTGTTTTTTGCTAAACTTTCCTCCCAATCTAGGATCAATTACAGTTTCCATCCAGGACTCCTCTCCTTGTTCCTTAATGATCCTCATTAACTTTGTTAATTCAGTTTCTGGTTGATTATTTCTATGGTTCATGGTCCAGCTTGAAAGCCTGATTCCGCGGACCATCTGCAGGATTACAATTCCAAAACTATTCACATCAACCTTTGCTGTAATGGGTTGATTCAGAGCCCATTCCGGCGCCATATATCCTTTTGTCCCTCGAATTCTCGACAACTCTAAGCCGGATCCTCCAACTTCTCACTGATAGAGCTTAGCAAGACCAAAATCAGCAATCTTAGGTTGAAGATCACGATCCAGAAGTATGTTTTCGGGCTTTACATCGCAGTGGATGACCCATTCGAGACACACATCGTGTAGGTAAGCGAGACCTTTAGCTGTTCCTAATGCCACTGCAAATTTGTTTCCATCCAGAAATTTTGAGCTGATGAACAGATGCTTGTCCAAGGAAGAGTTCTCTATGTATTCATACACTAAAAGCGGGCGTCTCTTTTCCAAACAATATCTCCATGTTCTAACTAGATTCATGTGATTGATTTTCCCTATAATGCTTATCTCTGCCCAGAATTCTTCTTCACCCTGAAGATGAACATCTCCTAATTTCTTTACCCCAACCATCCTGCCATCAGCCAATGCACCATTGTAAACTACTCCTGAGCCTCCTCTTCCAAGCTCTTCTCTAAAATTATCGGTTGCCTTCTTCAATTCCTTGTAGTTATATCTCCTGAATTGACTCGCGATCATTTGATATCCAGTCTTGACTGTATCAGGAAGATCGCAATTCCTTAATAGGAAAAACCAACCCAGAAAAACAGAAACAAGTTCAATTCCCAAAAGAGTGAAACAAAATGCGTAGAGGTAGATCAAATGTACCCTTCGAGTCCTTATAACATACAGAGTTGAAAAATCTTTTACTATTTCAGTATTTCTCTTGGATCTGTGTCGCATATAGCATGAAAGCCATCGAGTTGTAAAGGCTCTTGGATCGACAGATTTTGCGGGACTTTGAGAAACATAGCTTCAGCGGCTTGGGGGTGGTAGTAGCCATTGTACATCGCACTTTTTGTGTAACAATACCCGGTCTCCATTGATTTGTAGTTAATAGCTAGGCAGTTGGGATCCTTCCGGCAAAGTTCCTTGCAAGCTTCCAATGAAATGGATTTGTTAAAAATGGTATCAAAACCATTGTAATCTACCTCGGAAATCTTCACGAACTTCACCGGCTGATAGATCAGATGACTGAGATTGAATGTGGGCTTGCATCCCTTGTTCCAGTCACTAGGATCAGTAACCACAAATCCAGGAGAACATGGACATTTAGGTTCAGGGGAATAAATGCAAATTCCATTTCTTCCTCACAATCTTCGGATTTCACATGGACTTGATACAGCTTGCCATGAAACATACCACAAACCGTTCGAGTTGTTGAAGCTGTGAATTCTTAAATTCCCATCATAATCAAGTGCCATCCGTCTTCTGATCCCAAAACCTGTATCAATAACGCCGAAATTCATCCTGTCACTTGACGAGAACCTCCCCGTATCATCAAGAACAGCAATTCTGCTGCTGTTGTACTTTGTCCTTCCAATTTGACGCGCATTTAAACCAGGGTCAGGCCAATAGATCTTGGATGCCCCATTACCATTGTAAACCAACCTCAAAATGTGTTGGGCCCGGGTTCCCCTCAAATTGGGCCAGCAACAAAGAAAAGGAAAATAAAACCAAGTCAACTTGGACTTTGGTTTGGGTTTGACGGATGGAAAGAAAACCCACTCCAATTGGGTTTTAGTTTTTTTTGGCTTTGCTCTATAAAAGCAAGGCTTTGTGCACAATTTGTGCATGTGTTTTCAGCCAAGAGAGAAAGAAAATTGGGCAGCCGCACACTTCTTTGTGCGAGAGCAAAGAGAAGAGAAAAACTAGTTCTAGGGTTTTGGTGTTGTGAGAAGAAAGTGTTTCACTTTGAGGCTTTAATCGGGTGATGAAACAGAGTCAGTTATTGGTGCAAGTTTGCATGTGTGTTCCTCTCAACAAGATCTACAATTCCTCCAATTTAGTTTTCGGTTTAGCTCTCTGATCCTTCCGGTCTTACTTTCTGATAGGTGTGTGTGGAAGAGTATTATTGTAATCCACCTTTGGGTAAAGTCTTGTGTATCTACCGGTTGGTGAAGATTGTTTCCCATTATTGTGATAGTAGAGATTTGACTGTTGTTACAGTCCCGTGATTTTTCCCGATATGGGTTTCCACGTAAATTCGTGTGCATCCTTTATTTTATCAGTTCTTGAATTATTTTGCTTGTTTGGTTGTCCTATTTCATTGGTAGTAGGAAAAGAGATTTTCTTGGGAATCGTTTTCGCTGGTTTGTTGTGTTTATATCCTTTCTGCCACAACAATGGAATCAGAGCTACAGTTCGGTAGTTGAGGTGTTACACCAATAAAATGGAAGAGTCATCGGGTACTGGTACGATGATTAAATTGACTTCATCCAATTATCATATGTAGAAGCCTAGAATGGAAGATTTGTTGTATTATAAAGATTTATTTGATCCTGTTCTAGGGGATGAATGTAGGCCAAGTGATATGACTGATAAAAAGTGAGCTGATATGCACAGGAAAACTGTTGGTAATATTCGACAGTTGATTGATCAAAGTGTGTTTCATCACTTTTCAAGAGAAACAAAAGCTGATGAACTTTAGGAGAAAATCCAAAATATGTACTGGAAGAAGTCCGGCATCAATAAGTCATCTGCACTGAAACAGATTACCAGGTTGAGGTATGAAGATGGTCCTAACATGAATGAGCACTTGAGTTCGTTTCAAGGTTTGTTGAACTAGGCAGTGAATGTAGGTTTAAAGTTGGATGATGAGGTACAAGCTTTGTTATTGTTTAATCCTCTTCCAGACAGTTGGGACACTTTGGTAGTGTCAATCAGTAATTCAACCCAGGATGGTGTCTTGACCTTGGATCAGGTCAAAGAGGCTTTGATGAATGAAGAAGTCAGAAGAAAAGAGCAGAGAATTGAGTTTGAATCGCAGGCTCTGGTGACAGAAAAGTCAGATAGAAGAGGGAGAAGTAAAAGCAGAGGACCACGTGATCGGAATGACAAGTCCAGAGGACGGTCTAAACCCAAGAAAGATATCGTGTGGTACCATTGTCAAGGGAATGGGCACTTTAAGAGGGAGTGCAGGGTTCTCAAGAGAGAACTAACAACAAGAAAAGGTAAAGGCAAGAAGGATGAATCAAGTGATGATGACACTACTGCAGTAGTAACTACCAGTGATGTATTTGTGTACTGTAATGATGATACAATTAATGTTGCGAGTCACGACAGTGATTGGTACGTTCGGTGATTCAGGTGCATCTTATCATGTGACGCCTCACATACATTTCTTTACCTCTTACACACCTGGAGATTTTGGTCGTGTAAGAAAGGGCAATCAAGCCTCATGCGATGTTGTCGGCACGGGAGAGGTATCATTGGTAACGAATACAGGTTGTACTCTTGTCTTGAAAAATGTCAGACATGTTCCAGATATGCGTCTGAACCTTATTTCCGTTGGAAAACTTGATGATGAGGGTTATCATAGCACTGAAGGTGGTGGCCGTTGGACAATTACCAGAGGGAATCTTGTTATTGCTAGAGGAAAGAAGTTGAACTCTTTGTATGTGCTGAATGCAAAGTTGAAGAATAGAGAGGTGAATGCAACTCACTATGCCTCCATTGATCTCTGGCACAGAAGGCTTGGACATATTAGTGTCAAGGGGCTCCAGATTCTTGGTAAGAAGCAATTTCCCCTGAGGTAAAAGGTACTTGCCTAGAACCTTGTGTTGACTGTATCTAAGGTAAACAACATAGGGTTTCCTTTCAAAATTCTCCTCCACCTAGAAAGTCCAGTCCTCTAGAGTTAGTTCATACAGATGTATGTTACATGAAAGATAGGTCGTTTGGTGGAGCATTGTACTTTGTTACTTTCATTGATAACATACATCTGTATGAACTAACATTCATTGATAACATTGTACTTTGTTACTTTCATGAAAGATAACTTTCAAGATAACTTACATGAAAGATAGGTCGTTGGGTGGAGTATTCTACTTTGTTACTTTCATTGATAACATATATCTGTATGTTACATGAAAGATAAGTCGTTGGGTGGAGCATTGTACTTTGTTACTTTCATTGATGACTATGCTCAAAAGGTTTGGTGTTTTTCTTTGAAATCTAAAGACCGGGTATTAAATGTGTTCAAAGACTTTCACCTTAGAGTTGAAAGAGACTGGCAAATTGAAGTGTGTTCGAGCAGATAATGGTGGTGAGTACAGGGGTCCGTTTGAGAAGTATTGCCGAGACCATGGCATTAAACTTCAGAATAGTGTTCCGAAGACTCAGCAACAGAATGGCATGGCAGAAAGAATGAACAAAACTATTACTGAAAAGGTAGGTGTATGCTCTTGATTGCAAAGCTGCCTAAATCTTTTTGGGGCGAAGCCATGCAGACAGCAGTTGATTTGATCAACCTATCTCCCTCAGTTCCGTTGGATGGTGATCTATCACAATGAGTTTGGACATTTGGACATTTGCGAGTTTTTGGTTGTTGTGCCTTCGCTCATATTCCCAAAGACGAAAGGTCGAAACTTGATGGAAAATCCAAGCAGTGTAGAGAAGAAAGTTTTCAGAAGAGAAAAGCTAGTTCTGGGGTTTTGGTGTTGTGAGAAGAAAGTGTTTCACTTTGAGGCTTTGATCGGGTGACGAAACAGAGTCAATTGTTGGTGCAAGTTTGCATGTGTGTTCCTCTCAACAAGATCTACAATTCCTCCTATTTAGTTTTCGGTTTAGCTCTCTTTTTGGTTAGATCCTTCCGGTCCTACTTTCTGATAGGTGTGTGTAAAAGAATATTATTGTAATCCACCTTTGGGTGAAGTCCTGTGTATCCACCGGTTGGTGAAGATTGTTTCCCATTATTGTGATAGTGGAGATTTGACTGTTGTTACAGTCCCGTGGTTTTTTTCAATTTGGGTTTTCACGTAAATTCGTGTGCCTCCTTTATTTTATCAATTCTTGAATTATTTTGCTTGTTTGGTTGTCCTATTTTATTGGTAGTAAGAAAGGAGATTTTCTTGGGAATCATTTTCACTGGTTTGTTATGTTTATACCCTTTCCACCACAACAAAATGTTCAAGCTATCAAAAATCATGTGGAAGTAGCCAGATTCATAACTCCCATTCCTTAAAGAAGACACTAACCTCTTATCCTTAGTAAACATTTGAGTAGGTAACCGAGTATCTGTCGGATAATCAAAACTCTGCCATTTTATATAACCACTAGAGTTTTTAAGAACTAGATTACCTGAATTAAGAAGCTCAGCTCGAGCAATTTCAGTAGAGATGTCCTGCTGGTCTGCCAAGCATCATGCCATCGACATTTATTAAGACCATTGCTCCATTTTGGTTCAGAGAAGCCTTTCACCCGACTCCATTGACGGGTCTTTCTCTGTTTGCCATCCAAACCACTGTTTTGTCTTTTGAATTCGTGAACCAGATAGCTAATGAATAAGCATTGGTTCCTATTTTGTAAAACCCGAAAGTAAACGTCTGATCTGGAGATCTGATGAATCTTGTATCATGATCTTCCACGGATAAAATGGCATCTTTTTTTAAATAATGAGTATAAACTAATGAAGAAGGTAATTAGTGGAGGGAAAAAGTAAAGAGAAGAAACAGCGTAGTGGATTGGTATTTCATCTTAGAAAGAGAAAGAAACAGCACTCATTGGTTTCATGGCTGAAGTGATCACTCAGGTCTACAAATTTTATAACTACTTTTCTGTTGCGTATTAATCATGTTGTTTTCACACAAAAGAATGTGAGTCTAAAATTTCCACAGTTAAAATCAGTGGTCGCATCTATGGTCATAGATTCAAGTCCTAAATAGCTATCATCTTTTGAATTATGTGTTCAATTCAACTGATTTAGATTTCTTAAAAAATACACATATTTTTGGTCGTTAAACTATTTTATTATAATATTTTAATTCAATAAAGTGAATTATTAAAGTAGGATCCAGATAAAATCGCGGGAACTTTAAACTTTGCACTACTCAGAACAATTTAAGTCGATCATCCAGAATTCCAGATTATCTTTTTTTTAAAAAAAAAAAACTAAGAGTTGTCAAATTCATTCAGAGATTCAAGCCACTTAAGTGAACGATTGCAGTTGAACTTAAACCTAGTAAATCATGCAATGGGTATAAAATAGTTTATCTCTTTTTCTTAGAGGTAAGTCAATTGGAGTATTATGCATTTATCATATTCCAGAACTCACACTACATTTGATAATAATACAATAATAATAATTTAACCTAAAATGTGAACAATACATGGTAAATTTTGGTCCTGTTTATAAGAAAACGTGCAATTCCAACTTTTAGCGCGATTCATAATTTTCTCTCCTTATCTTTCTTAGCCCGATTGTGCTGGTTTTGAACAAAGAAAACTAGAATATATTTTTGTCATAAAA